GGTGGTTCTAGAGATTTTCTGAGGGAGGGGTTTGGCAACACTGCAAAGTCCAGCTATTAGAAATGTTTCACAGCATAAATACATATATGCAGCTTGAAATAACATCACATTATAATCAAATCTTCATGGCACACAAGAATCAGCATACAGCAGTCTATTATTTGTTTATATTAAAAAACAAGTAAAAATAAAAAATCTACAGCTCAGACTTGGTTAAACAATAAAGTACATTTTTTTATGCCAACAAGCATTTGTTATCTTTCATGATAACAACCCTGGAGACCAGCTTGACCAACCAGCTAAAACCAGCCTGACCAGCCTGGCCAGGTTGGGAGACCAGCTAAAACCAGCCTAGCCAGGCTGGGAGACCAGCTTGACCAGCCTGGCCAGGCTGGAAGGCCAGCTGACCAACCAGCTAAAACCAGCCTGGCCAGGCTGGGAGACCAGCTAAAACCAGCTATTTCCAGCTTAAACCAGCTAAAACCAGCCAACCAGCATAGGCTGGTTTAAGCTGTTTTTTTCAGCAGGGAAATATTATCACTAATGTAGAAAACATTTATTTTGCATGAATACTTTGTACAGGACACGTGAAAACTTTGCACTTAGTGTATGTGGGTGTTTCTTTAACTATTTCGCACTTTTTGGTTTTGATGGCCCGAGTGAATGAGCGTAATGTTTGAACAAGCTGAGAAAAACCCACTACAAAATAAAAGATTGTAACCCAGTTAGTTAGTTTGGCTAACTAATCTGATTTATGACAATTTAAGTACAATAACACAATTCCATAAAGCCAGTAACGAAAGTGACGCGCTCAAAGCGAAATCTCAAAGCAACTGTTGTTAGGGAATATAAGTCTTTTCTCCAAACGTACCTCAAACCGTGACCACCCTTCTTGCTGTCAAACTGTCGCTGTAACTTTCTGACGCGAAATTGTCACTATCTGCTTAGTTTGAAAATGCTTGTCTTCATCATGTCGTTCCGGATTTCGATTCTAGGCGCGCGGCTCTCCACGCCTACCTGCGCCATGCAGGCTACGCTGACGCACCTCGTGCCCAACCAACCGCGCCTTAATACTACACCGCTGTAAACATGTGCCCAGACATCAGATAGATTCACTTACAATTCAAATAACATGACAATATAATAATGTTGCTAATTAGATCAGTTAGCAGAAATGTCTCTTTCTCAGTCTTTGAATCAGTAAAACGCCGTCTTTCTCCTCTCTTCTGCATGTTGCAGCTTGATGCGCCTCCAGCGACGGATTCTGCAGGAATTCATGTCAGGTTCAATTCAATTCAAGTTTATTTGTATAGCGCTTTTCACGATGCAAACTTTACAGCAAATTAAGTTTCTACAATATTTAGTTGTAGCTTATCAGTGGTGACTGTCAGTTAATGTACATATGGCAGAAATGTACGGGAAAATCAATTAAAGACGTAATCAAACAGATGATGAACACTATTAACAGCAATTATTATATGATGCAATCAAACTTATAGCCAAAATTGGTAGTTCTGTATGTTGTTTCAGGGTTGGCATCATCATTTCGTCTAGTTCATGTGTACTTATTGGTACACAGAGCAGTTGAGATAAATCAGGCAGGTTATTTGTGAATCTGTCTTTGGTGGCTGGAACAATAGTTCTGCCCGGACGCTAACGCGGAGTCATATAGTTAATATCAGTAATACGCAGCATGCACGATACAAGGCACGATACATAAGATCAATTCCATGATATAATTATAAATCTCTTGTAACTTCCAAAATAATCGTATGATTAAAACGATGAGTGGGCCCGGTGACGTTTTGCTTGACTCCAAAAGAGTTTATTAGGTCAGTAAACGCAAGTCCTAATGCATCATTTGTATTATCAACGTGAATGTTAAAATCTCCGACAATTAGCGTTTTATCAACAGTAACCAATAGGTCTGAGAGGAAATCTGTAAATTCAGGTCAGCCCAATGACAGCGCACAAAAGTACAGCTGCTGGAATATTCAAATACACAAACCTGTTTCTCAGATAACCAATTTCTTTGGCTATTAAAAAGTTGAATACTAAGAGAGGATTCAGAATTGTGTGGTATGTTATGTGTCAAACCAGAATCTTTAAGTCATATTACGTGATAACCTTGCCCTCTGTGTGTGTGTGTGTGTGTGTGTGTGTGTGTGTGTGTGTGTGTGTGTGTCTTTTTAACTATGGGCACTTTTGGCCCTGTTGGCATGGCCTATTTTGACAACTAGTGGACATACATCACAGTATGCTTTCCTGTACATTTGTCCTTTTTTTGCCAAACATTATTAACATTTCCACCAACATGCAAATTTTTATTGTGTTAAACAGCATTTTGTGATTGAGATCACAGTGATGTAAATTACATTCTAAACATTTGACAATTGCATTTAAAACAATCACACCATGATTGGGAAGAATTATGCACAAAATATTTTGTTCATACATCACATCTCATTTTATCTCACTATTGTCTCTTTGGTAAAAGAAAAAAAGTAGGCCTATACTAACTTTTGTAGTACAAATGTGTTGGTTGCAATGGAAAGAACTTGAGACAACTTAGGGATAGCTGTAATTTTTGGAAAATGATAGGCCTAATGCACTGACACATAATATTAAAAAATTGATTGTTTATTTTGTATTGTTTAGAGTAACATTTTAAGATTAGCATTTAAAAATGTGCATAAAAGCAACTGACAAGTAGAAAAAAAAATAAAGGCATAGAAAAAGATTTCCAAGTTTTAATGTGAATTTCATAATGCAGTAAGAAAAAAAGCTTTAATAAACATCAACTCAAATATAAAAGTGCCTGAAGTTGAAGAAACACATTCGTGTACATGCATGGCTGAGATATAAAAGATGTCATGTAAAATTATTGAAGAACAAGCTTGACTCATAATAGCTGTCATAAGCCGCTTTATCACCACCCAAAGTAATGCCGTTATATGTGCAATTCCATAACTTTACCACATGATGGCGCCAGATTCCAACATTTTCTTTTCCCTGTGTTTTGAAGTCTTAAAGCAGCACTATGTAACTTTTGGCGCTCTAGCGGTTAATAAACAGAACTGCACACATCCCGCGGAAGAACATTCCAACCGGAGCTACTTCTCTAAGTTTATGTCTATGGCGATTCACGCAGGTATGTGTTACTCCGCTGCGGTGACGACCCGACCAGGCTACGATAGTACAAATATAAGTACTTATTATAAGTGTACCGTAGTGATTCGGAATAAGACAAAAACGCGGTTTGGAAGATGAATTCATGATGTACTCGCTCATTATATACATTTTGCAAATTTTGAACACAGAAAAAGTTACATAGTGCTGCTTTAAATACACAAACAATATATAATTGTATAATTAATGAACATATTTTTAGCTAAAAAATAGTAGCATCCAGATCATAATTGAAACTAGGCCTACAAGAATTTGAAATATTTATCCTATATTTCAAATAAACTGTCTGTTTGACATTGCACAGGCACTATTTTTTTCTTTATTTTTTTTTTTTTTATGAAAATAGAACAAATGACAAACAGAGCATAGCATAAGACAGTCAGTGCTATACAAAGTGTGACATTAATTAGTAACGGGAACTGAAAATAATGTCATAATATTTTACATAACAATTTCAGAGAAGATATAAAACAATCAAATTCCACTAAAAATACCTTAAATATTGGGGATGAATTCAAGAATTTTTGTTTATGTATATAACATTTTGCCAGCAATATGAATTGCACAGGCACTATTGGAAGAGAGCTGAACTGGATGATGACATCACTGAATCATCAATGAACTGACTTGAGCTGAAAAATGACTCTTTGTTATTGTCCTCTTGCACAATCTTATTGACACAATCAGTATTGTATAAAGCGCTATAAAAAAATTAAGGTGACTAGACTTGACTTCATATCCAGGTGTCTATGTACATATTCAACATTATAGTGTTTTCATACCCTGCTGATCTTTGTGTGATGTCAGGTCATATAGGTCATGCGCAGAGTCCTTATGATGAAGAGATATAGTTCACTGCAAAAGAGACACTCTTCCAAATGATGAGGCTCCTTACATTATAAGAGCACAATGGCCATAATACAGAAATATAGCTCTGCAATAAGTTCTGCACAGACTGCACCCACCACTTAATGTTTCTCTCCTAGATTATAAAGCCAGCTAATTCAGAGCCTGTCATTTTAAGGGAGCCTTTGCCATTTTTGTGTGCAATATTCTTAATGGTCCGAGTGTGCTGTCTGAATATTTACAGAGGTTGTCTGCAGTAGTTGCAGGAATCCCCAATACATTTGACCACATGATGGTTTTAAATCTCTGTAGCTTTTCAGAAGTAGAGAAGTAGACTGTAGAGAAAGTAGAAAGCTATTCTGAGTTTTTATTGCATTTAGTCATCTAAAATGTCAGCTTTAAAACCTTTTCTCAAGTCATATGCAAAACATTTGATTTTGGTAATTTTTGTAAACACTGGCATTTATGTGGGGCTTAATTACATTATTTAATTTGCTGCAGTAGCTTTCAAGAAAATAATATGATTTTCATGAATGTTGGAAGCCTGCTCTGAACTGTGAGGTCATCAAAGAATCCTGAAAAAAAAATGTATCAGTTTCCACAAAAATAAATAAATAAAGCAGCACAACTGTTTTCAACATTGATAATAATAATAATAACGTGTTTGAGCATCAAATCAATATTAGAATGATTTCTGAAGGATAATGTGACACTGAAGACTTAATAATTGCTTGATAAAAATTCAGCTTTGCTATCACAGGAATAAATTCCATTTTAAATATGTGAAATATGCAATCACAAATGTAGACATTACTCTTCTTTAGAATTGAATCTTTTGTGTACAGACACAACTGTTGCCATGATGACCCTATTTTACAAGCCGGGAGTGGTAAATACTGGGTTTACCAGGGAGAGAAGGAGAGACAGAGAGAAGCTATTGTGTATCACCTGCTATTTCTCTAATAATCAAATCCTCAGTTTATGCTCCAAGGCTCTTAATGAATACACTTGAAAATATGGTAGATTCAGCCAGCCAGCTAATACTCTCACATGAGAATGATCTCATCTGTTAGACCTACAAGAAAACGCTGAGGAACTGAGAGTTTTACAACCAGTAAAAGGAAGAGAAGAAACAGGACCTGAGCAATCCTCTAATGACCATAGAGATTCAGCTGGACTTCACACAAGGCTTTTCCAGGTCCTCAGGAAATTTTGTGAGCTTCACACCAAGACAGCATGCTGAGAGAGGTTCTTTGCGGTACAGCAAACACACTCACCGAGCGTAGGATGTACCCTAATTTGACAGACACGCTCCCAGACACTCAAGAGTCTCGAGACAACAGCTGATGTGGGTAAGTGCTTCATGAGAGGCTTGGGATCTTTGTAAGGGAGGTTGAGGAGACTTTTTCAAACTCTCTCTCTCTGTGTGTGTGTGTGTGTGTGTGTGTAACCAACTTAACTTTATTTTGGGGACAAATTTGTACCCAAAAGTGAGCTAAACCTGACATAATCTCCAAAAATCTTCCTTTGGGGACATCCTCATTTGTAAAACTGGTATAAAAAAAAATAAACAAAGTTTTTTTTCAATTGTAAAAATGCAGAAAGTTTCCTGTGAGGGTTAGGTTTAGGTATAGGGTTGGTGTAGGGCAATAGAATTTTACTGTAAGTTTGTACTGTGTGTGTGTGTGTGTGTGTGTGTGTGTGTGTGTGTTCGTGTGCGAGCGCGTGTCTTGCTTCGTCTCAAAGCTTTATTTGGCATGACTGTGACAGAGTACTGCCATAGCATTATGTACTTATGTAGTGTATAAAATAGTCTAAATAAAAGTTATTTGAAAGGTGTATAAAATAAGTAAAA